TGGGACTTGCACCTGACCAGATGCGGATCAAGTGCGAGACAGACGAGATGACTGTTAAGTGAGTTTTGCATCGGCCATCGTCGCGAATGAGCCTTGTCCGTTCTTCAGATATGCGCAAATTCGCTGTTGCCCCGGCAGTCACGTGCTGAATAATTATCGTCTAGCGTATAGTCCTCAGAACACAGATGCAATGACCTACCGCCCTCGTGAGCGTCCTCACTGCGGACAAGAACGTGCGAACTCTTTCAACACGTGATCGACTTGTGCACTGTGCGTGCACCGCACGCTGGATTACTTTACATGCGCGCAAAAGGTAACGGGTAAATTGAGAGCATGGATAAAAACCGATTTACGAGCGAAGCAATTATCGACGACTGTATCGCGGTTCTACAGTCATCGGTATTCATCGAATAATAACGACCAGATGAAATGAGGCGAAAGCATGTTCGTGAATTGGCGGCGGCTAGAGGCTCGGCGGTCAACGCCGTTCGCCGCGGCTGCTATGTTATGCGAAGCGATTAGATTTTGCCCGTGTGTTGACCGCTTTTCTCTGTCGATCAGTAGCGTCGGTTGAATGAACAACTGTTGACAACTGATATGTTCAACGTCTGTTTTCGCTTCGATTATTGAAAGTGTTAAAAGTGCCGTTTGAGGCTTCTGACCTGGCCCGAAAAGTATCGACGTGAGGTGACGAGGAAGAACCGACCTACAAGTCATGCACGCGTTGCTAGTCGATCCGATCGTCACAGACATGTTGCAAAACGGACGACGAGATGACCATGACAGCGGCATGGTCGTGGTCGGCTCATCGCTAGGCGCAGCACGGTGTAAAAGCGACACTGTCGCAAAACATTACCTTCAGTGAAGTCGCTCTTGCCAGCGTCAACAGGAGGCGCGATGGCGATGAAAACAGCAAAGTAGACGAGGAAGATTGATGTCAGAATGGCGCGCGACGGTAGCAGTAGATGCGAGTGTGGTCGACGCTGAGTTTGAGACGACGTCCATCGATGACCACCAGTGGCGGCAAGGCGGTAGCGGTGGAGAGCTATTTCTCGGCTGCACATCGATTAACGACTGTGTTCAGAGCTGACAGCCAAACTCTATGTAGAGCCGCATACAACGCGACCTGTAAAAATGTTCATAAGAGCTGGTTGACAAAACCAGTTATGCGTACACACACGTACACGCACTCGCCATCGTCGTCGAATGGAGGCCAGGCGACACACCGTGCGACGACGACCGACCACGCCATCGAGCATTCGACACACGACGCGACAGTCGCCGCGACCGACCACGGCGACAGAACAGCCGCGCGTCGGCCGAACCGTACGGTACGGTGCAGTTT